AGGTACCGCAAAAAGTTAAATATAAAAGTTATAGGGTTTTTAGAAATCTATTAGCGGGTAATAAATTTAAGTATACAGGGTCGGTCATAAAGTCGTGGCACATCAAAGTTGCATTTTTTTAAATTGAACCCCCTGTATATTATTGCATATTTATGTTTTTCCCTCGATTGTAAACAAAAATCGAAATACACACAATGTACCTCAAACCAACCGTTTCCGAGTTATTGCCTTTTAAAAATATCACTTAAACAATTCGATTTAATTAATTTCGATGTGTTTGGTTTCATTTAGCGATGCCATTCTGCGGATACTGTGATTGGTAATATTTGACATTAGTTTTCAAGTTAGCATTGATAGATGTATAAAATGAGATTATATCAAGTGTCACAGTTTCCGCAGAATGTCACCGTTAAATGAAACCAAACACGTCAAAATTCATTAAATCGAATTGTTTAAGTGATATTTTTAAAACTCAATAACTTTTGGAAACGGTTGGTTTGAGGTACATTGCAATGTGTGTATTTCGTTTTTTGCTTATAGAATCGAGGGAATAATCGAAATATGCAATAATAGACAGGGGGTTCCATTTAAAAAAAATGAAACATCGATGTGTCACGACTTTATGACAGATCCTGTATACTTAAATTTATTATCCGCTAATAGATTTTTAAAAACCCTATAACTTTTATATTTAACTTTTTTGCGGTACCTCTTATATTTTACCTAATAATCGACTGTTCCCATACATATCAGAGACCCGGTATATAACAGTATATTTACTAAGCACATAATAAAAAAAACTTTCACGATATACGTCAATACTCTCTTCAATACCAGTTTTATGAAACAGAACGTTTAATGACAATAAACTCGAATAATTAGATCCAACAATGTGTTACTTTCACTAGGGAATCGTAAAAACAAATACATTCGTAATGAAGATAGCACCGAAGACAATGATGCAGTAAGAATTTCTTAAAAAACGAACGTACAAATTTGAAAACAATAGAATCAGTGCAGACGGGAACAGACTTATCTAAACAAAATCTTGACTGATTTATAGGTAGATATTTGATATTTTAGTGCTTTAAATTGGTTATATTTTCAACCTTCCGTTTAGTTTTTATTAAATTTCAAGACACCAAATCGTTTTTTAAAAGTTTTCACAAGGGAAAACATTAGAGCAGTCATAGTTAAACAATATTAAAAGTTACAAAATTATTTCAATAATTTCTCTCATAAATATGTGGGCTAGCTTCTCTCTTATTTTTGAAACTAAAATTTCTGATATTGAAATAACAAGCAAAACATTTACATCTTTTTTCTAGCTATAAAGGGAAAGCACTGCCTATTTTGTTTCCCCCTTCTTATGTCTGCACTTGTGTCCTGTGTCCGTATGGTGTCTGCACCTTATCCCTGTGACCTACATCAGTTTTTGTAGGTCCTGGATAGGATGAAAGCATAGTTCGTTGGTTCGTTCAGTTCTTGCCTTGCATACCCAAATAGAAAATGTCGCATGCGATCCAGGGGTGCAACTTTGTTCAAGTTAGCAAGCGATCGTTTAGAAGCGATGTCAAAACCAGATCGATACTATGTTCATTGCAAAACTATTGTCGCTCAAATGCTGCGAAATATGGTATCACTATCACACTCTTGCACACGTGTCTAGACTGTCGCCTCGCCACAAAGCGAGAAATCAGAATATCGCTACGAATCGATGTTGCTACTGAACATAGTGCATCAAGCTACAAATTACTTTGCTATCGCTTTGAAACATGAACAAAGTTGCACCCCAGAGCTGTGACTTATTAGGTGCTCTGCTGTTTCAGGATCTTTATGACAGAGTATGTAGCAAAGCTTTCCTTGATACATATTAATCTCTTCTAAGTGGACAGTCATAACTCCTGTTAATAAACCTGCTGTAATCCTGCTTGTTCCATTGTGGTTTTAGAATTCCGTACTTGAATGAAAGCCTTGCTATACCTGTGCTCTTATCTATTTTTCTAGTATACTGTCTCATTTTCCCTGATCCAAAATGATTTCCAGACTCCATGAATTCCTCCACAATATTATGTTAAATAACATACGACTCTGTATTCAATTTAAACAGTAAAATAAGATGATTTAACATCTTTTCTTTCAATGTTAAGATAATGATAAGTAGAATAAAAAAAAATAATTATGGCAAACACAAAAAGAGTAAATCAAATTTTAAAGCAAAAATGTACTGAATGATTCAGTTTTGTTCAAAAATCAATTATTGTCAAAAGTTTTGTTTTACTAAATAAAAAAATTGGAAAGTTAACTGCTTATTGACCCAGAACTAATTCCAATCTCAGACAGTCATTTCGACTTTGACCTTGAATCTCAGGTAGTATTTATATTTGGTAAAATTGAATTCCTTACAAAGGAATTTCAAACCTGGCCATTTAAGATAAGTTTATCTTTTAAAAATGTATCCAAAAATATAAAATACCCCTAAAACCGGACTAAATACAAGAAGATGATTCCTACAAAACTACAACATGACGAAGGTTCGACGTTCAAAAGGCAATTCAAAAAATGATTGCCTATAATGTTCCGAGTATGCAAATGAAGTCGATGCTTTTCCAGAAATGTTTATTATATTGGATTTTTATATGGACAAAATTGAAAAAATCTCAAACAACCCTATACAGTTATTACGTGAGTGTAAATCAGTCTCTTCAGCTGTTGTTTCGCATACCATAGTATGTTTCAATATTCACCCTGTAAGTCTTCTTGGCATTTTTTGGTTGAGAAACCTTTTTTCGATCGTATATGCATCCTCATTACTACAATTGCAGGCATTTACGAAATATAAAGGAATGTTATATATGTTTAGCGCGAGGTATCTGACAGACCACTCTGTAGCGGTTAAGTGTTATAAATTAATATATTTAATAATAAGAGTTATAGGGTAGTAATAAAATTAATTTTATTTCAGCTGGTTTTGAATATGTTCTGTTGTTTATTGCCGTTAACTATGTATATTAAAATTGTATAGCTTTTTGTCGATTAATATGTAAATGAGCGTCACAATACTCATTTTGAAATTTAGCTAAGAAGTTTAGGTTTTTGAATAGGTAAAATATTATAAAATATATTAGGTATCTCTTTATACGAACATTGCTAAGTAATGCTAAAAATTTAAAACACAAAAAGTTTCCTAAAATAGCAACAACCCATTTAAAATACCAATTACCATAGAATGAATATAGAATGAGTGAAAGTGGGGTTAATCATTGCGACCTTAAAGATCTATTGTTTCCCTCTTTCTTGAGTTATAACTCATCATACAGTCTATGTATTGCTGTTGTAGGGGGACAGGGTATTTCCCACCCTCCCCTGAAAACAGATGTTCTTCCTCCGAGGGTATAAACCCTTTCACGATTGGGGTTTTACCTTCCGTGCCCTTCACAGTCGAGAAGCTCGTCTCCGGCTGAGATACCCGTGAGGTGGAGGCTGGAGGATCTGTCATGTTTTCCACCTCTTTAATTTAGTCTTTACCAATTGTCATAAGATAAATTTTTAATAAGCCGTGGAGCATTTTCTTATCAACGATTTCATCAAAGATATAAAAAAAGATAGTAGAAGAAGTGATGACTTAAGCTTGATTTTCATGCATCCGTTGTCCGACGATACGATGATACGATATTAATTTTATTGGTTGAATTGAAAGACTTTGATTGGTTTGAAATGGTTAACCAATCGAAGTCTTTAAAATCAACCAATAAAATTAATATCGTACCATCGTATCGTCGGATAACGGATGCATGAAAATCAAGCTGTACACACCAAATGTACAGACAAGAACTGCCACTGTCATGCATTTTGTCATAGGGCAGATCATAGATACCACAAGTCACCAAAACACTTTATTTTCAACCTGGGTTTGTTGATAATCATGTTAGCATCATTAGCACAGGGACTAAATCGAAAATATCTAGATTTTATCTGATGATGTGGCTAATTTAAATAAAATTTAGACGTTAGAAAATGGTTACATGAAATGTTTCCACTAAATATCATTTGCCTAATGAGGACCAACCAAAGAATGTGTGGTAGTCCATTGCCTGATATCAGCTGATTGCTGACCCACATCGTTTAAGTCTCCAGGTAACGTCATTTAGAAAACAAGATAACAGGGAGACTCAGATATATCTCTCTGATGAACAACAAAACCAGAGAGTCTTATATCAAATGAAAAACCGTCTCCCTCTTCACGTTTACTTCCGCTACAGAATGGCCTTTCATTTATCTTCAATTTGTGAAGATGTTCATATGGAGTACAATGTCCAATAAAAAAACAAATACAGTTTTAAAAGTTTTTTTGGATATGTGTCTCTTTATCTTTTCGTCATGCTACACCGGAAATACTGCAACCTGTAAAAGTTATTGTGTTTGTCCCTTTTCTAAATCTGCACCTAGGCTCCTAGCCCTGTGTTCTGTATCAAGTTGTGCAGGTCCTTGGTATGATAGGAGCATAGTTCCTCCGGTTCTAGCATTTATTTTCCAAATAAACAGTGTTGCTTGCGATCCAGAGCATCGCAGTGACATGTGCTCTGCTGTTTCAGGATCTTTATCGCGGAGTTTGCATCAAAGACTTCCTTCTTCTTTGATACAGAATGAGCTTGACAGCCTCAAGAGACCTGTTGTAAACCGCAGTTTATTCCCACTAAGCATTATCAGTTTCCTTGTAGCTTTAGAATAAGGTCCTTGCATGAAGTTTTTGCTATGTCTGTACCCTTGTCTGTTTTTCCAGTGAACAGTCTGTTTTTCCATGACTGATATAAACACTATTTATAATCGTTTTATCTCAAATTACTCTAAAAAATATGATTGACATTATTGATCATCCTATTCCAATAATTTCGTCGAAAAAAACCCTGAATTTTACATCTAATAAATTTCAAAAAGATCATGTGTGTTTATATTTTCAATTATCGCCTATTACAGTAGATTTTAACATATCTCCTTACCTCTCAAAATAAAATCAGCTACCAAATATCAGCTAATCCGTATGAACCACCCAAAATTCCATACAAACACACAAAAAATTCGCGACCAGCGACAGCCTACTACAGTTACCTCGGAATTCCTGTTATAAAACACACCTTGAATTCTTTCGGAAAGCGCACTCCGCGAGCACCAAATCTGGCCGTACCGGCGGACACGTCTAGCTCCACGATCCCCCGTCTAACAGTACTTGGCCCAAACCCTTCAAAATCCCTTCTCGGAGAACTTTTTTACGTGAACAAATACAAATATTTGCAATTAACGGATTCTTGAGTCGAGAGGAGCGAGAACCTCGACGGTACTACAGGTAACTGCTGCAGCGGTCGCCACGATTCGGCTTGGAGAATGTGGTGGCCGGGTTGCGCGGGTGAAAGGGGGGGCCAGGTACGACCCAGGTACTTGCCTGGGCGAGCGGAGACTTGGATGACGCGTCTAGCGGCGAACCGACACGCGAAGAAACAGAAGAATGGCGATTTCGTGGCGGTGTAACGTGCGGCAACGCCGCAGAGGCGGTAGATGTGGTGCTATGGTGGTACTAGTTAGGTTAGGGTTGGGTTATCTTCAAAGGTTATTCCTGATTTCTAGAAAACTAGCTGAGTACGTACGAAGCGATCAATATATATAATAATTGAAATACTATGTTTGAGGATTATTGGATTAGTAATTGATACTGTTGCTAAAACAAATTACAGATTCATTCAATTCAAATCAAAGTCAATTTTTTTGGATTTCCTTTGTTTTTTAGTTTTTTTAGTTTGTGAAATCGATATATTTGTCAATATAAATACTTACTATTTTTCAATATAACTGCAGTATTTAACATGGAGTAATGGACACCACATACACCAGCATCTTTCAGGGAAAAATCTACCCTATCGAAAGATGCGTTCAACTGCAACTGAGTGAAACATTATAGCACGATTTGTTAGTAAAAGTCTATGGAAAAAAAACCATCAAAATGTCCTCGAAACAAACGAACATTTTTTTGAATTAATGTATTTTACAAAAATTGTGGATTAAAAGTTAATTCCACAGATTTTATGATTTATAGTAAGTGGAAAGTAACTTTAAAATTTTAGAAAAATCTGTACTTTCCAACTATTTCGATGCAGAATTGCAATAGGAACCAAAAATGTTTGTTTCAGAATCTCTGGATCCAGAACAAACATCTTGAACACATATTAAAAAAATCCAAAATAATGTTTGTATTTAATAATAATTTTTTTTTACATATTTTATATTTTATGTTAAAAATATAGCATTTGCTTTCCTTTTAAAAAATATACAGGGTGGTCCGAACTGTATTCCGGAAACTTCGGCAGCATATTCTGCAAATAAAAATAAGTAAAAAAGTTCGTATAAATGTATGTCCTCAAATACATAGTTTCGGAGTGTAGGAGTTTCATTGTTATTTTGATTTTTTCCAAATAATTTCTGAAGTAACGTCAATATTTGGATGAAAGTTAGTGTTTGGGAGTTTATTGACATGAGAAATTCGATTTTGATGTCAATGTGACTCCTATTTGTAGGGGGCGCCACCTGCATATGTTTTAACTGTTTTGAAGAGTAATAACTTTTCATCCGTACCTGCATAAAACTACTGGGTAAAAAAATATACATTTACGACGTTTTTTACGTAAAAAATGTCTCTTGGTAAAAATCGCTACGAGTAATGGTTTTCGAGATAATTGGAATCGAAATTATTAATACCTGTCATCATTGACATAAATTAAACATATATGTTGACTAAATAGTTATTAGACTGAAATCATAAATTTGAAATGGTTTTGTGTCAAAAGTTCAACAGAAACTGTTTTATCATCATTTTTTTGCAGAAAAATTTATGATTAATTTAAAAAAATAAAAATTTCCCAAATTTATTTTATTTCAGTGAAATAGCTATCTACTGTGTTTATTTTTCGTCAATAATGACATGTATTGACTATTTCCATTCTAAATATCTTGAGAACGGTTGTTCGTAGCGATTTTTACAAAAAGATATTTTTTACGTAGAAAGTCACAGAGATGTATATTTTTTAATCGGCAGTTTTATACAGGTATGGACAAAAAGTTATTACGCCTCAAAACAGTTAAAACACATGTAGGTGGCGCCCTCTACTAGTAGGAGTCATATTGTATGTATAATCATATTTATCAACAAATTCAAATTTCTCATATCAAAAAACTTCTAGACATCAATTTTCATCCAAATATTGACGTTACTTTAGAAATTATTTGGAAAAAATCGAAATAAAAATGAAACTTCTACACCCTGTATCTCCGAAACTAAGCATTTTAGAACATACATTTATACGAACTTTTTTACTTACTTTTATCTGCAGAATATGCTGCCGAAGTTTAAGGAATACAGTTCGGACCACCCTGTATATTATAATAATATAAAATGTTTCTTTTTTTTATTAAAATATTAAAACATATTTATTGCGGGGGCAAGGGGCCTAAAAAATTCTTGAACGCAGGCCCGCGGCTTCTTCGTTTCGTCACTGACAATCTTTCCAAGTGGAAACAAACTTCAAGCGGAACTCAATAAACAACGGTGAATGCAGATTCTGTGGGGAAAATGGGGAAATACCATGAACACCTAATAAATGAGAGCACCAAGACAAGAACCATTCGTGCCATAAACTTTGGTACGACTCATCGGAGATGGAGAACTAACCTCTGCAAAACCGTCTCACATACTGGCTTTTGCCAAAGCCCTGAGACTGTGTTATGAGTTATACCTCAAGAAAGGGGGATCTATAAGGTAGCGGAAATTAACTTCACCCCTCCTATGCAATCTACAATATACAACAATAATTTAAAATATATATTTTTTATCATTTAAATCTAAAATATTTCAATTTAACTAAGATTGTCTTAATAGAGAAAATTCCGATAAATCACGATAAAATCTCTCGAACAGGTATGTGTGAGATCTGTTCTTACGCTGTTGGTGAATGGAATGACAGGAATGTGAATAATTCCATAGACCGTTTGAAGGAATTGCTGGTTTCATAATGGAGAATTTTTGCGACATAAAAACCCCATCTAAATTGCAGATGCGCAAGGTGATCCACATCATAAGAATGCTAAATTTTATGGCTTGGTTACAAAAAAAAGTTTTTTTTTAATAATAGATGAATATTATGTAACGAAAGAGCTGTAAATAAAATAATAGAATGTATAAGTAAAAACCACATAGATATAAAATATACTTTGATTTTTAAATTTTTGACTTTGGAGAATATTTAATATTAAGTTTAACTTAAGCTCTGAAATTAACTTTGAAATATTAATTACTGCTTAATATTTTCTTTAAATTAAGAGGTGTTTGAAGAGATTTGTATTTAGACAGTGTCCTGTTAAAAACCCAGTGACAATCCGAAGATTGTTCTTACTTAAATCAAGAAAAATCTTTTATTTTTATCGGTCATAAGTACTGGAGACCGTTGGAGGATTCTCAATTAGGGTTGGCATGATTTAAATCGTGATTTAAATAAAAAAAAATTATTGAAACTTTATAATAAATCAAAAAATTACTGTAAAAGTTATAAAACTGTGTCCTAGAAAACTAGAAAGAAATATTTCTATAACAGATAATAAATCGAAAAATAATTGTAAATGTTATAAAACTATATAAAAATATCTATTCATCAATTTAAATGTTGGACCGATGTTTCAAGTAATTTCGTGTGAATCCATTAGATCGCTAAACGCAGGGACTTATTTTAAAATTTATGTATAAGTGACAAAAAGTCGCTGTTCGAATACATATCATTCGCAAAGTCTTGTGCCAGAACTAGGTTCTTCTGATATAGAGACTATATCTCCATTCGCGGGAATCTATAATCGCTGTCAGAAAATATGTTGTTTTATATTTTTTTGAAACCGTTGTATGTTTCCAAATTCCTACCGACATCCAAATTCCTACCAGCATCTGCAGCAAGTACACACACCGGAAAAATCAAGGGATATCATTTTATTAAAGTTAAAAATAAATGTTTTGAATAAACCAAACCAAACCACATATTTGTAGGCCGATTCTTTCTACTTCGATTCAAATGAAGTAGTCACACTAGTTATTTCTAAATTTGGGATATTTGCAGAAGTGTTTGTGCATTTTTTGTCAAATGTATAAAAAGCACCTAGCATCAATTGTTCGAATTTAACCTGTACTGGCTATGTTTTTATGATAACTGGCCAGAATTCATTCAAATAACTTTGGTTAGTATTAGACGTAGACATCTTAACAGAGACGAAATGCTAAGGGCCACAAATGAAGAATGTGTATGCTCGAAGCTGGAATGCGCCAAATCGACGTAGCTAGAGCATTAAATACAACGCAAAGTGTAATATCGCGATTAAGTGTACGCTACCGTGAAAGTGGTGATGATGCTGAAAAGCACACAGGGCGACATCGCATTACTACCCCTCAGCAAGATTATTTTTTTCAATTAAATGCTCGACGCCGACCGACTCTTACAGCACCAGAGCTTAGTTTAATTCTCCAGGAAACACATAATTATTTAACCGTTAGTCCTGACACTGTTCGCAATAGATTAAGACAGGTCAACTTAAGAAGCAGACGCGCCTGGAGAGCTCAACCCTTAACGAGAGGAAATCGAGAGGTACGATATTTGTGGGCTCAAGATCATGTTCAGTGGTCGAATGAACAATGGGCCAATGTTCTCTTCACGGATGAGTCACGCTTTGGAATTCATCCGGATTCGAGAAGGCTTAGGGTATGAAGAGAACCGGGAAATCTTATTCGGTTGGATCATGTTCAGGAAGTGCACCCTTATCAAGGTGGAACAGTTATGGTCTGGGACTCAATTAAGCCGAAAAAGCGATCTCGTTTTTCTTGAAAGGTTTCTAACAGGAATCACATATCGTGATTTAATTCTTGAGCCTGTCGTGTTACCATATGCCAATGATGTTGGGAGAAACTTCATTCTCATGCATGACAATGCACGGCCTCATACAGCTAGAGTGGTAAGTGAGTTTATCAATGCTCATCAATTAAACATCTTACCCTGGCCGGCACAATCTCCTGACCTCAACCCCATCGAGCACGTATGGGACGTGGTCCAAAGAAGAATTTTGAGAACAGACATGCCTCGTGAAACTCGTAGGGATCTGGTTCAGGCCGTGAATACAGCGTGGCAGGCTGTACCTCAAGAAGAGATTGACAACCTGATCAGGAGCATGGAGAGACGATGTAGGACTGTAATGAACAGTAGAGGAGGTCATACCCTTTATTAAGTAAAAATGGTTTTATCTTTTTTTTTTAATTCACAGTTTAGAATAAAAAAAAAATGTGTGTATTTTTTTGAGTTCAATAAAATTCGAGGTACATTTGAAAAATTCGGTAAATTTCGCAT